CGCACACCTCAGGATGAAACAGCCTACACACCTGACCACCTAATTTTAATATAAAAATATTCCGCCAAGCCAACTAGCAACTTCTAAAATAGCAAGATCAAAGTTCACAGTAGTATCTCTTGTTCACAACAGTTATTTGCATATGATATTCAGGCTCCTGAGCCCCCTCTTCAATTTTGCATTATCTGTCGGTGGGAAAACTAACAACCATATAATATATAAGATGTTATACCAGCCATAAATCCTTCAATAGCTTAATTGTAAAATATTACATTTGTATTATTTTTAATGTATTTCAGGTATTAACTCTATGCAAAACTCCCAACACAAGATCAAACAGATGTGAGAAAATTGCTAGTAATAACAGGAAAAAAAATCTTACAAATCTTTAAATTTTGGAATAGCTTATGAATAAAAATAATGCGAATACGATAATAAAGGTGCCCCTCCTGGCACAATAATTAATACATCAAAACAGAATTGCTGAAACATATATATAATTAGTACAAGTTTGTTTTTTTTTTAATCCAGCCCATCAGTGTGCAATACCACATAAAACAAATCAACATTTCAAAATTTTCATTGTGCATTCCCTATGGTACATCCACATTAACATAGGCCTACATACCAGGTGAACAGTATACAGCATACAGTGTATCTTTTAACAATATGCTAATCAGCAAATTAGCATACAAAACAACACTTCAGTACTGCAAAAAATTATAGTTTCATCAATAGAAAGATAATTTTGCTGTTTAGCTGTACTTACAATTTGGTAACTACTAATTTATTTACTATCTATTTTGTGTCATCCACATTCAATTTTGTTTGTTGACGATTACTGCTTCCTCCTTTGCTTAGGAGCTTACATATGCATAATAAGATAGCGAGCCAAAAAACCTCAACATTTTCAGAGCATAGGGTAAAAGGCAGAACATCTGCCCATTTTTAGTACTACTACTACTCTTCATAAAATGGAGTTAGATGAAAAAACATTAATAGCATGACAACAGGCTGTGACATCGAATGGTAATGTTTATATACTTGAGTTATATTACCTTTCGTGCATTTAGCTTTTAAATCTCTTACCAAACATTTTTAGGCCGAGAGCTTGGATAAATGTTCAGATGTATAAATATTCAAAGGATCTAACAGAAACACCTGGCCATGTGCAACACGAACACCTGGCCATGTGTCCTCCAGAACACCTGGAACTGTGCCCACAAGAACACCTGGCTATGCATACACAAGAACATGAACATCACATCTTGAAAAGTGAATTAGAACACTCTTATGTCCTTTCAATCAATGCTAAATCTTTGTGCCCTTAGGGGTATGGGGGCTCTTTTCCTGATGTATGTTTTTGTCGGGAGGTACGAATGCAATGTCAGAGGCAACAAAGTCTTGTACATAGTTCTCTGGTATAAGCCCTGTTCTGCCATTTTCAGTTGTTCCCAACAGCCATCCTGGTTCTTTTGAAGAATGGACTAAATGATAAAAAAAAAAAAAAAAAAAAAAAAAAAGATATGAAAATAATCTCTTAAGTAATTAATGTTTAAAAAATACTAACATGTATAGAATTGGTGTACATTAGTACCCTATATTATATTTATATTCCACTATACATCAGGTAATATGTTTGCATCCCATGTATTTTTCTTATGTACTGAGTGTTAAATTACTTTAAAATATGCTATAAACTATAGATAGAAAACTAAGCATTATCGATTACTTGCAATTATTAATTTCTAATCTACCTATTAAACAAAAATATAATTTTTTCTTTTTTATTCATTTATTTTATTTCAATTTCTAAGCCAACTGTAAAAGAAATTCACGACTTACAGCAGAGTAAATAATAATGACTGAAAAGTAATATGTGGACATAATTGTACTGAAAAATTATCGCCGATTCTTGTAAATAAAAAGTGACAACTTACCATTAAAAATGACTTGATTTGGGTTAAATGACAATTCAGATTCATTCTCTGCCTCACAAGCGTACAAAGTCCTGACACAGCGCCCCCTATTGATAAGAAACATTCACATATCAAGTCTCAGCTGAGAAGAATAGAATGCAGGCATTATTTACATGCAGTTAACAAAGTGCCATTCAATATTAAAAACAAATTAACATAATTGCTGTTGTATTTCAAAACAAAAGTCCTTAGCTAAAAAGATTATTAGCACAAAAAAAAACTGCTGTGATTAAAAAACAGAAAATTAAAATGCTCGGCCATGTTTAAAGTATACAATTTCTGAAATTGGTCTTTTCTATCTTTTTTTTTTCTTTTTAAGAAATGAGCACAGACACATTCTAAGAATTAATTTTGCAATGCTTGTTATTGATGAACTAAGCTTATATTAGTAGATATAGGAATGACAACAAGGGACATCTCAAGAGTTCTCCTATAAATGCATGTACGAGATGAGCATGTATGAGAATGTGAGCCATGAGCAGGAGCATGTGTGACCTTGTATACGAATGTCCAAGCCATGAGCAAGAGTATGCACATGTATGAAGAAGTCATTAGAACAGCATGTGTGAGCATGTATGAGAATGTCCGAGCCATGAGCAAGAGTATGAGCATGTATGAGAATGTCCATGCCATGAACAAGAGCATGTATAAGCATGTATGAGAATGTCCGGATCATGTACATTTATGAATTTCCAAGTCATGAGCAAGAGCATGAACATATTTGAGTCATGAGCAACAGCATGTGCGAGCATGTACAAGAATGTCCGAGCAATGAGCAAGAGTGTATATGAGAATATCTGAACCATGAGAATGTGTGAGCATGTATGAGAATGTCCAAGCCATAAGCAAGAGCATGATGTGAGCATGTATGAGAATATCCGAGAGCCATGAACACAGGAGAGTAGAAATGATGGGTACAAGTATGAGAATGATTGAGTGTATGATTCATAAAGTCATGAGCATGTATGAGAATGTCCAAGCCATAAGCAAGAGCATGGAGTGAGCATGTATGAGAATATCCGAGAGCCATGAACACAGGAGAGTAGAATTGACGGGTGCAAGTATGAGAATGATTGAGTGTATGATTCATAAAGTCATGAGCACGTATGAGAATGACACGAGATTAGTGTGCAGTTCTGACAAGATAAATAACTGAGTGATTGAACAGATAAATGAATGCAAGAATGAATGAGTGTTGATTGGATAATCAATTCACTGAATAAACGTCAGAAGCATCCAAACAACGATAATAATTACAACAATTAAATTAATCAATAATTCAACAAATCAGTAACTGATTGATTGATTATCAGTCATTAATGTTGATTCATTTTAAATGGTAAACTGGGTGCTAAAAGTATTCATTTTTCTGAAAATGAAGCTTGAAAAGTGGCTTTTTGATACATCATAAGGTTTTCTAGTATCCTCTTCATAAAAGGAAAAAAATTGTGCCAAAAAAAACGAAGATAGGTTTTAAAATTTTAGCTTGATCAGGATCGGAAAACATACATTTTTTTTTTTAAATTTTAGATTTATATTTTTTTGATAGGTACTTTTCTTTGTTGCCGTGTTACTGATGGCAATTTCCATGGTACTGATAGAAAATTGAAAGTTTTGTTAAATATTCTGTTGCATTTTCTGTATTTTTATAGAGTACTTTTAAATCTTATTATTCTCATTGTTATTTATAGTAGTTTCCATGGTAATGATAGTTGTTGACATTGCACTGTTAGCTGTTACCATGGTTGCAGAATGAAATGCAGTGTTTTTTTTTAATTTCTCCATGCAAACAGAAGGTGACTTCTTGAGATGTGCCTTTTGTGGGATGCAAAATGTTATAAGATTCTTATTATGGGATATTTTGGTTACCAATGTGTCTGTCTCCTCAAACAATCACACGGGGCGCTGCAAATACAAAATACCAAATAAGGAATGATGAAATAAGCCTTCAATATCATAAGCTTATTATTATATTAAATTATATTATTATACATTAGGCCAAATAAAATAAATTGTTTGTTTGACATATTTTTAAACGATAAATAGGGGTGGGTGGAAAAAGTTATTTTTTAAATTTTATCTTTTATTTTTTTGTAATACTCATCAGATGGAATAAAAATAACCCACAGAGGCCTAGAATTGCAATATCTTACATCAGACAACAATTTTAGACTAATTTGTAGGGCATCTGGCAAAAAATAAAGATAAATTCACTCACATTTTTTTTAATTTGTAAAGAAAAAAGCTAAAAAAATCCCTTTTTTGAAGTTTTTTTGTTTTCCGCCCCTATTCTTTCAGTGAGTTAGGGGCGGGTGGAGGAGGGCAAACAAACAATTTTTTGTTTGGCCTTATGATGTTATGTTACTATTACATAATTTCAAAACCATAACAATCAAAAGGCAGTCAAAATAAACAAGGCAGTGGCTATTGTTAGACCAATATTAAACAAATTAATTTCTGATTGGATGTTATTGTTCATATACATTGGATTAAGACAATAATATCCAATCAGAATTAGGAACAGTAGCCACTTTAAATTAAAAAAAACCTCAAGCTAATCATCTTATTATATTTTAAAAGATGATGGTGCAAATAAAAAAATATATATACTGTATATATTTTTGTTATATTTTGAAATCTGAGATGGTCAAACTCCTACTAGAAAATGAGTCTTGTTGCACCAAATACCAAAATGAGATTTCAGTCATCATTTATTTAATTTAAATGGTATAGATAGTACACATCTAAAAGTTGAGATTTATTGGTTCATACATATAAACACAGAATAAAGACAAGATACTATTCTTCTATTAATATTTACTGACTTATAAATAAATATTTAAGCTTTCATTTTTTTATGCATAATAAAGAAGATATATAATGTGGTGAAATAAATAAAGCATTTAACTGATTTTGTTTGCATATGAAGTTACTACAATAATAAATAGATGGTAAAACTATAAATATTTAAACATTAAACTCATATCTTTGTAAAATGAAGGCTTCAAGATTTAAGACAAAATTTAATGCAAAACAAATGGATGTCTTGATATATACAATCAGTAAATATTCATATATAAGAAAAGAAATACATTAAAATAAAAGTCACTATAATAACATAGATTGTGAAACTTGTAAATGTTGAACGGATGCTGTACTTCTTAAAATTCAGGTCCCAATTTTCTTTTTTGTAACTTTGACAAGAGGTGCAACATGACTCATTTTGCAGTGGAGGGTTGTCATATTTACATATATTATGTATAGGCCTAGGATGACAAATATTGAAATATTGCATTATGATATGAACCTAAGCAATATCCAATGTATGAAATTCAAATATATTTGAATATGTTTACAATTTATGACTGAGTAAATGGAATTAATGCAGTAATATCAAAGACACATTGTTAGAAGCAAAATATTTATATACAGCATTCTAATATATATATATTTTTTTTAAAAGACACTCTGCCTAAAAAAATTCCTGTCAAATTTGTATATACAGTAAAAAAGTACTAGCTATAGTGAAGTAAGAGGTATTTGTATTAAAACAAAATTTAACCTCCCAATAATAAGCCCAATATGAGTTTATGCATATATTTAGCTTATAAAGCATAAAGGGTTCCAAGATATTTTCCAAAATTTAATTTCATAAAAATATTTATATAGCACTTTATCAAAAAACGTGTGAGTTACTTAATGGGTTTTAGAAAAAAACATTTAATCTACACAACCTACTCTTGTTAATTAGTAAAAAGTAACTTGCAATATTAATTGTGAATTGTTTAAAAGACAACTCACTGTCTGTTATTAATATTATTTGTTATTATAGATTTTGAAAGACCAACATCCGGTCGAGAAACTCTGTTACAGCGACTGGTAATTCTATGAAGCTTACATCAAACATAGGCATGCAAATGTTATATACATTTAACACACAATTAATAGACATAATACATATAAAGTACTGTACTTTCATATTTGTGAATATTAGTAAAACTAAGAATCACCCCCTCCTCTTCATCACCTCTCCTCTTCTTTACCTTTACCCCTTCTTCTTACAAACTAGTATTATCCCACACTAGGAAAAAACCCATCCTTTAAATTTTGAGTAATTTAAATGCAAAAAAATTGGTAATCATTTCCAAAGTTCAGTGATTTGGAATTTAAATTCTACAATAACAGATCATCATAAAAATCAAATCTAAAAATCAAAATCAAAATCCTTATGATGTATTAGGTGGACTGCATGCTTGGGTAGGGTTGCTAAGTAACAAATGGGTTGCTAAGTAACAAATGGGTGTCACACAGCTTGTGATGTCAGTGAGGTGGTCCCCATACCAAAACCTATGACCCACACATTAACTGTGAATTTTCATGGTTCATGATCTATAATCATTTCCTTACTTGCCTTAATAAGTCTAGATTCCAAGTGTATTAATGCTGTCATTCTATCCACTAAACCCCAATGATTATGTAGGACTTTTTTAAAACTTGTTTTAGTAAACACTGGGCTTATTCAACTATTTCTTTGACTACGATTTTTCATTTAGTATTATTTTCATTCGCATGTTTTGTAAAATAGATTTGTTGACAACGAAAATTAACGTAAATCAGAGTATGTTAATCAGTGTTAAATTATCCACGTGACCAAAACAAACATAGCCGATTGGTCAGATTAAGCAACAACATTTGCGTTAATATAATTTAGATTGATTTTCAGAAATAAAAATTAAAATATTTACCCACATGAAGTCAAAAAATAATTGTAGGCTAACAGAATTAAAAAACGGGATGAAAAAAGTTTTTACGAAAAACCCATACTGCCACAATCCAAAGCAACCTTGATTGCACAGTGTGTATCGCGGTAACTATGCAGCCATTTTGTTTTGTCGAGTATTTACCAGTTTTCAACTGGTCATCTTCGTTAAGAAGGATTTTACCACTGCGCAGATGGGCGTGGTTTAACAAAAAACGACAAGTCGAAAACAACCATTGTTTTAGACAAACCTTCAGAGAATGGAAAAATATATAATTTTCTGTGTGGTTAAAAAGTAACTGAGGGCATGCTCAGAATGTGATGTCAAAAAAATGTACAATATTCATTAAAAGTGATAAATGTTTAATTTGTATTTAATTGTGAGGAAAAATAATAATTTCTATCACGAGATATCACGGCTGTGGTAGATGGATAAAAATAAAGAAAAACAAAATTTTAAATTTCAAATTTTTCACTGCGGCAGGTATGCGCTGACAGGCAAAAATTAATTAATTAATTAATTAATTAAATTTTATTGAATTAATCATTATCAGCTTGAGACTGGTTCACAAAACAAGGTATAACAAAGTCTCACTTTATTAAAAATGGTACTAGCCGTCCAATTCTCCTAAATATTGATATAATATGGGAAAATCGTTATTTACAATAATAGTACTAGTTATCCAAAACCCATATGTTCCAGTTTCTAAACATTATGCAAAAAATGGTACAAGTAGACCAACTTATAATACATATGTCACCAGCATTGGTGTACACCACATTATTTGTTTCCTTAATGAGCCTACAACAAATGCAACATGCACTTTTATGATTTTTTATGCTTCAATGGAAATATGGAACATGAGACAACACACTAGGCAACAATCACAACACACTCACATGACGAACGAACAAATGCGAAGATGAGGCATGCGAAAGTCCAACGAACGGGCGCAAAAAAAAAAGCAAACATGTAATGCCACAACAAACAAACCTTCTGTTTCTATTGGTAGCATTGCCACGAAGTGCGACAGGGTTCGTATTACTCCTCGGATGTGGAAATCTACCATCCCTGTTACTTCTGCGAAAGGACATTTGTATAGTGTGCATTTTATACTCAAATGAAGATAAAAACGATGGTGTCTAGCAAGACTTTAAAACGAAAAGATTATATTAGTAAGCTCTGTCCATAACTGTTGTATTCTAGGCCCATATATAGTCATGATGTGCCTATATATGGTCATGATGTGATGTCATATTTAGGCATGTCACATGTTTTTTGTAATAAAATTTTATAGCCTGGACAGGGCTTAATAAGAAAAAAAAGGTTGTGAATAAAAGAAACGAAAATGAACAAAAGAATTAAAAGAAAATAGTAAACATAAAACAATCAAACTTAGAAAATCTTTCAATACAACACTAATTCTTTCATTCATCTATATTTCAAACATGCACACATACAAAGATACAGTAAACACCTGCTTAAGAGCCTGGTAGATTAAGAACCTACTGGCTGTAACTTGAAAACATTTAGCTTGAAATTTAAAATAGTATAATAATAATAGTATTAACTGAAAAAATGTTTAAACATTTTCTGCAACTAACTTGTATATCAGTATTTCATAAATAAAAGCATTGTTTTAAATTAACTTTGTAACCTACATTTAACCTAATAATATTAAAAAACTTATCTTCAGATGGGAAGGTTTCTTTTTTGAAGAAATTACAAATCTTTCTAATTTTATAAAATAATATGATATTGATATATCAATTTTTGTACATTCAATGGTAAAAAAAGATAATCATTATCATTATATATTAGAAAATATAGAAAATACACGAGGATTTATACAATACACTATGGCAATTACTGTAATGTATACAATAGACCTTACTGAAACCCAATTTCAAAAGACAGGTTTAGAAAGTAAATTAGAGATAAACAGAAGTTCAAATTTTGTGTGATAATGTACCTATCTTAGAAATACCTGATTATAAAATAGTCTTTTCATATCTGTTAGAAATCAATAAAAATCTGATCAAAGATTGTTTAATATCTATCAGATAAATTTAGTGTATTCTCAGCTAAGCCCAAAATGTGTTATGTACAGACACTATTAAATCGTAAGCTGTAAAATAATTACGAACATGTTATTTGTGTATAAAACATATCAAGCTTTACTTACAGGGGTGAAGGGTTACCGCTGGCAGGCTTGCTACTGGGTGGCATGGAAGGTGAGCCACCTACCGATGCATTGGTACTTGACCCCGAAGTAGATGTGCTTCCATTGCCGAAGTTGGTAATGCCCCCTCCTCCTTGACCTTTTGTTCTCACCTGCTGCAGGTCTTGAGTCTCTCTGTGAGAATGAATTCAGCAGTGAGCACATCAATTTTAAGTCATATGCTTCAAAGGAGGATGGCCCAGTATATTATTTTTTTCCACTTTAATATGTGGAATGTAAAAGATGCAATGTTGATTAAAAAGAGATAATAATACGATGATAGTGGAGGGGCATGACAATGATGAAGATAATAACGATGTTGATTATAGCTGCGATGTTGATGCTGATAGTGGAAATGGTCTGAGACTACAACAAAGATTGGAAAAATAGGTGGCAGTAATCACAAGAAGTGGTGATGGTTGTGGTAACAATGGCAATATTGTTTATAAAGATGGTAATAAGGATGTTGACTCTCGTCAGCCATCTATCAGGTGGGTAAGAAGTTCAGAATTGGAATAAGAAAAAGAAGAAAAAATTGGACATCCAGCAGTAAAATTGACATGCTTCAAATCTAACATTATTTTTCATTAAATCTATGAATGCAATTTGAACAATATTTTACTAACATACATGCAGTAGACATTCGTTTACACAAAAATCAGACACTTTAAAGTGCAGTTAAATAAATCTATGTTACACATGCCATTAACAACATATGACTCAATACAGCATTGAAACTGTCAAAACAATGAGTCACTACAGCACATGGAGATATCAAACATAGCTGAACATGAAATGCATATAACCAAGAATACTCTTTATTGAAATACTTTCAATTTAAATCTAAATTGATGACTGAAAAAAAAGGTCTTAATTCTTAGGAAGGAGATGGCTTTCAAATTAATTAATACATCTAAATATTGTACAGAAAAAGACAACACTTATACAGTATTAGCAAAAGATATATTTTGTGAAAAAAAAAATAAAATTCAGATATAAGAAGGAAAAAAGGTAAAGTCATATTACACATCTATAAGAGAGAATACATAAAATACAGACTCCAAATTTAATTATATCACAGAATTGAATGTAAATATTCAATTTCTGCTAATTTCTAAAGGATTACAATTTATGGTATTACTATGTCGGTATAATATCAGGCTGTTTTATTCATAAAGATACAGAAGATCACAATAATCAAAATAGGAATCAGAAATAGAAAGGGACAACACCGTATTTTTTTTTTTATCATGCTAGCATTCAATACAGCTAAGAGCAAACGACTCTAGCATTTACGACAGAAAAGAGCAGCCAACTGATTGTTCTAAACAATGAGGAGCAGACAACTTTAGAATTCAGAATAATGAAGAGCAGACGCTTCCAGCATTCAGACGACTCTAGTCCTTAGGATAGCCAGAAGCAAACAACTCAGAAATTAAAGATGGCCAGTACTGAAGAGCTAGCTATCTGGGTAGTGTACTGCAGAAAACTGACACTAAGTAGCATAAGAGCTTAGAATTATGAGCAATGACTGTAATAGCATCGAATATTTAAGGCATAAAATTTAGGAACATTTTATATTAAAAATGTATGTAGTCCATCATTTAATGTTTATAAAATCTATTAAAGCAAAAAAGAAATTATCCAAGAGGAATATTCTTCAATGACTTGTTCCTTTATAAATACATCTATAAATATACCACAATATAATCCAAACACCATTATTCATAATGTACCTTCTCTATACACTTTTGAGGCACAACAACTGCCACTATCGCATATTTGGGGCACACAATTCTATTACCTGAACTACATTGGTATTGGTATTACCAAGTATTGTAAATATCAAAAAAAAATATTTCTCTCAAATTTTCTTGTAAATTTTTAAAACTTCTCAATGGTTAATCCACCATTAATAAATCTTTATAGAAACTTGGGCGCAGGCATCTTTTCTTCCGAATCTATTGACTATTAAGACGAAATCATTACAGCATAATAGCAAATAATAGCAAGGTTGTTGAGCAAGTAAAGCAAACTAATAAGGGTGCCAGATTCGGAAGAGGCCTAAGAGAATCTCCAGTGGAAGTCCTAGTCATATAGGAGGGTTAAGAGCATATGGTCCCCCATCCACTTCCTGTGTACTGAACCCTCTCCATCCTCTGTTGACTTTTACAATTATAGAGGGAAGTTCTATTCTTCTCTGTAGTGGGCCCTAACCTGTTTTTTAACATGGGTCTGCTACAATCCTAGTAGTGGAAACTCCCTCTGCATTAGAGCTTCTCCACCTTAGTAGTGGGACTGGCACATGTGGCGGCCCCTCTCCCCTTACTCACTGTAAAAAATGTGCAATTTTTTTGGTGAAGGAGTGTTACTGAGTGAATTAGTTAAAGTGAATGGTTTATGCGTTTTTTAAAAAGGGGAAAATATTGCCCCCGTGTGATCAGTTATTACGTATCATCGCAATGAATAAGCAACCGACCTCTGTTGTTTTTTCCAAAAGCTCAGGGTTGATGAGAAAGGTCGTACACCTACTAAGTTGCTCGCTGGTGGATGCAACGCACTAGAGAAGAGCAGAGACACAGTTAGAAAGCAAAGATGATACACAAGTATTAATGTGAATACAATATATTTTGATTGGTTTATCCTTATCCAATAGGATAGTCTGGATGGCTTAGTTTCATATGACAAATACATATGATTTGCCTAATAGATGTGATATGATATCATAATGGCCATCTAAAGATATGATATATGATATGATATATCCATATTTAAATGTGATATAATACCGTAACACCAATATATGGGGATGTGGTATGACATCCTCATGCCCATATTTAGGTGTCATATAACATAACACCCATATATGGGTATGGTATGACACTGTCATGCCCATATTTAGGTATGATATATCATCATAACAGCAATATATATATGGGCGTGGTATGACATCATCATACCCATATTTGAATGTGAAGACACCATTCATACGCACATACAGGCAAATCATAGATTCTTGTTGCATAAAACCTGCAATACTGGATGGCAATGGAATTAATAATGCAATGTTTGTTTAAACCAATTAATTTTTAAAGTCTTTTAATTCTATGAATCTTTGATTGCATAGACATTGGTATATTGCAGTGACTGTTTAATTATTAAACAATTCAACGAATAACACAAAAACTTTATTTTCATTCAGATAATATTATTAAATTATTGAACACTATGAATTTTATGCAAACAATGGTCAATCTATTTTAATGGGGGCCACTTAAAATATATATAGAATATTAAAAAAAATATTTTTCAAATGCTGTTCTGAGTAATTATTCAATAACTACATATGGAGCTATTTATACTGGCTGGATGTGGAGAATAACAATTCAACAACAGTCCAGCATGAAATTTGTAAGAAATGAAATGAAAGAATCCGCAAAACAAATGTGCATGTTATTTATTATGATGGAGATTAATATGTTAGTTACTTCTCCCAATATTTCTCTGATGAAAATTGTTTCAAAATAAAAAGTCTATAAAACAGATTAAATGGCATTCTGTGAGATCAAATTAAATTAGGAAAATAAATAAAACAATATTTTAAACAATAACATAAACTATACTTAAAATAAAATTTAAGGAAGGCATAACTTGCTCATTTATTTTTGAAGTATGCTGGGATTGAAAACACAGAATGCTGTTCAGAAACAATGTTCCACCAACTGTGTGTGAGAATTGCAAAGTTTTTTTTGTAGCACCATTCTTTCTCACTCTTGTGAGCAAGAAAAAAAAATGTCCACAAGCTAACTCATATAAAAGCTAATTTCAAAATAAAGGAAAATTTTGTTAGGCATATGTTTTCTAATGTATTAAAGTAGGATCCACTGAGAGAGTCTTTATGGCATAGAACAGCCAAAATTGTGCTTTTTAGACTATAATATTAGCATCTGAAAATCGAAATAACATTATTTAGAGAGGCAAATTACTACTTTTGGTATTTTACCACTGTATCACTATGGCAGAAGTACTAAGATGTACAGTATTTAAAAAACCTCCCTTCTTCGAACCTCCACTAAGGTGCAACATGAAATATGACTGGATGTTTGTATTTGTTGCTTAGCCTCATGGCATGATCTATCCATTATAGCACCCAAACAGTAATCAGATGGTCTTCAGTTCAAATCTGGACAATATAATTAAAATTTGTGTGAAGAAAATTTCTTTTCATATTTGATTAACATGAACACAACCAAGAAACAATGTTTTGCTTTTTCAAAAAAATGTTACGAAAAAAAATATATAGTGTTAGTTGATAGTATTGTATAAATATGGTATGTTGAAGTTAGTTCATCTTATTATTAGTAGAGCGCAGAAAATAAACTGTGGCAAAGTAAAGGAATTAACAGGCAAACAGAAACAATACCAATTGTATAACATACAGACATGTACCTGTCTGTTGTATTGGTACAAACTCAGAAAAAAATCATCATCATAACACTTGTTTGTGTATGAAAGTACCTTTCTATGATCTTGACAACAAGGGATAGAAGACTACTAAAAACGTTACAGCTATATCATTTCATTCTCTCTATTTCTAACACCAATGTTCCACAATACTACTCAATAAACAACCACATCTACCATCAATGATTTCAAAGAATCATAACTGAAAAATCATCACTTATGCTGATTTTTGTCACCAAACCAGATCTTAGGTATAATGTAAATCATTGTCTTGTCACTATTTTTGATTATTGATAAAAGAGATGAACAAAACAAAACATGAAAGTAAATGTAGTAAGCATTCCCTATGATGGAGGAACACCATGATTATCATGCAATCTCCCATAGGTACACACCACATGGAAGAAGGGGGTGGGGAATTACATCTTCCTTCAGTACACAGTCAGCAACCAAATGTATTTGTGTATGTTACAAATTATTAACCATGGAAAAGTTCAATAAGCCAATTCATGATTTGAACAGCACATATCCAGTGATATACATGGTTGATACTCGATACGGTCATGCGCAGTTCAAACTAAGAAACTGGCTTATGGAATAAGACAGGCAAGTTGACAAAGCCACTATTTATAACTTTAAAGTTGTTGTAAAAAAGAAATATTAGATGGATGGATGGATAGATGGACAAGTAGATGGGTGGGTGGGTGGATGGATTGATGGATGGATGTATAGATGGAAGTATTGATGGATGGATGGAAAGATGGAAGCATTGATGGATGGGTGGATGGATGAATAGATAATGGATGGATGGATGGATGGATGGACAAGTAGATGGGTGGGTGGATCGATGGATCGATGGATGGATAGATGGAAGTATTGATGGATGGATGGAAAGATGGAAGCATTGATGGATGGGTGGATGGATGAATAGATAATGGATGGATGGATGGACAGATCAATGAATGGATGGACGGACGGATGGATGGATGGATGGACAGATGGCAGGATAAATGGATGCATGAATGGATGGATAGTTGGAAGGGTCAATGCATGGATGGATGGATGGATGGATGAATAGGAAGAGGAATTGGTAGGTGGGTAAGTGGATGGATGAATGATAGATAAATGGATGATTGAATGATGAATAATAAATGAATGACTGGATAGATCATTGTATAATCTATGGTGGGTGGATGGATGGATTGACAGATATAGATTAACAGTGTCACTGACAGAAGTACCTGGTATGCCATCATGCCTACTTATTCTCACTTTCCTTATCCATGGTCAACACACAATTGAACAAAGTTTTTTTTAAAATCAAGATGCAACTCAACAGGTCAAAGATGAGCTAACATTTAAGAACAAGGCATGTAGTAACATCATCAACTAAACAACAATATGTAGAGGGTAAGGTAGACACAGCAATTTAAACAGGATTATGAAATGTTGAAATGATGCAAGCACACTCCCTTTGGTTTTTTTTATCATTCATGATTACATGCCTTTACTTACGTTTCATCCGTTGTCGCTAGTGGTGGTTGACTGCTTGTGCGGCCTAATAATGAAGGAAATATAACATACCGATGTTAATTGGTTTCAATTATTTATGACAAATGATTTTCCAATATGGGAGAGGAGAGGATTGGATAGGAAGGAGAATTTTTATTAGAGGTAATCTAGATATGAGAGAATGGGTAAGAAAAATGGTGTTCAATGTGAGAATTGGGTATCGGAAAGGAAACAGAGCAATATGACAGAGCAATGGGGTATGGTATGGGATGCCATGGGGTATAGGATGTTGGAATGAGGGAGTGATCTACCAATATATAACATGATCAAACTTTAATAAATTTCTTGTGCATACACTCACAACAAACATACATTTTGGGGAAAATATCTCAAAAACCGAAAAAAAAAAATGAATTGAAATTAATTTCTAAGAATAATGGACTTCATAAAAGGATAATAGTATTAAAATGAAAATCAAAACTTAAAAATAAAAAATATGTTGAACACAAATAGTATATCCATAGACCTATTAATAAGTCCATGGTATGCATCAAGAAAAAAAAATTAAATTAGGATGCCACAGAAAATAAATTAAATATAAATCATAAATTATTTAAAGGATGAGGATTAAATATATGAACACACTAAACAATCATCAAAACATTTTTTAAGCATTCACATAACACAAACATACACACCCCTCACAACTCCCCACCCAGTCAACCAATCCCAAGAACAGTCAAACTCTGTATGAGCTTCTTGATATACAGTATGTATACTATATTAAATTATGTAAATTTATATAATATATATAATATATAAATTATGTTATATTAATTTCTGTTTTCATGCTATTGTAGAAAATAACAATAAAGTACATAGTAAGTGCTTTCTAATAGTCACAACTGCACAAGTCAGAAGTCAAGTCACAAAATATTACAGTATTATGGTTATACAATCTCCTAAACTTTTATAAAAATTGACAGTTTTTGCTGATCATTAACAACCTCTGATAACTGTTAATACACCTGCAAAATTACACCATTATTTGTTCTGTATGTTTATGTGAACTTTGAACTTTGACATAGAGATATGCAGCTGTGACTACAAAATTCCTTATCATACAACTATGAAAAATAATAGTATTCCAAATTCTGGACACTCACACACACACACACACCAACATAATATTTCAATGAATAAATCATCAACAATTGGATACATTATAGATGACAAGTTCCCACATATAAGAAAGATTCATAAACCAAATCATAGTATACACATATGAAACATCACATTTATATGCACATACATGATTTCATACACATAACATAAACTATATATGTTACCATGAACAGTAAATATAAAAAGTACATATAAATAGTATATATACGCATATTTGAAATTGGTACACAAAAAGAAAAAAGAAATGTACTAACGTTTCCGAAGTGTTTTTTCAGAAGGAACTTAAGGAATGCAAGGAAGAAAGTAGAAAACAAGTAAGATATCGATAACACCAAACATTACTCATTCAAATGCAATACTTTTCTACACTTTGAATGACGTAGCAACTGACCTAAAAAACAGCAGATTAAACTAATGCAGTATTTGTGTTTCCATGGCTAGCCTCAATTTTCTTTTTAAAGTTCAAAGCACAGAAATATATAAAATTGAAAAAAAATGGAGGCAACATTCTATGATGTATTACACAAGTGTCTCTTTGTTGGCAATCAAAGCTCCATTTGATGTGTGGTACTGGTTCTTGTACTGGTATGTGCATTTATAATGCACCTCTTCCTTGAGGTTATAAAGCGCAATTCTTTTCCCTGGTCATTGGGTCCACATGCTTTAAGTGCTGCTCCTGGTAATCAGCTCAGGAGCAGGCAACCCCACCAGGTACCCATTTATACTCCTGGGTGGAGAGAAGCAATGCAGATATAAGTGCCTTGCTCGAGTACAGAAGTAAAATGCATAGTGAGGTATTGAAACCCTGACCTCGAATTTTTGTAAACAAAATCATTCCCACTGTGAGCAAACAGTGACTGCTTGTGCAATAACATAGAACGTTAGCCACGAAATGCATTCTCTTTTTCCTCCCGTCTACGTTTAGGCTAACGCAACTAATTTTTATCAGTTTCAAAAAAATATTGAATTATTGAAATACATAACCAAATAATTGTTAGTTTTTTTTGTTTTTTTTTTCTTATTAAGCACATGGTGTTTGCAATGACGATGTAAAAATTCACAACACTTTTAACATATCCAAATCTGGGCACTCGCTGCATCGTCCGACTGTAAGCAGATGAAACCAACTCCACTTTCTGTGCGCGTTAGATGAGGCTACGCTGTCTGCTGATTGTCGGTGGCAATCTGAACGGATCGTCATTAAAGCGACTGGTTGCACGCGGGTGGTTCTACATAGAACTGCATTAGCCAATGACAGTCAGGTGAAGCGAGTGGCCAGCTTACAATTTTACAGTTGACTATACATGAGGCTCGCCATTCCAAAAACCAGCGAACTAAATGTTAAACTGTGTAATTAACATACGAATGTGGCAGTATTGTATACTTTAGTACAGAGAAGCTGTAATACTTTTACTCATAACTTTGGCAATAGAAAGTCGATTCTAGTAATTGACCTACCATTTTTAAACCTTATAATGTGCAGAATATGGACATACAGTATTAAACAGTCAATTTTCTTGTTTTGGTCACCAAGGCTGGTTCTGGCATGGCTAGCCCTATATCTAGCATAATATTCTGTATGTGAGGTTATGTTGTTTGATGTCTTCCATTTGATGGCCAGTTCTGAGCGCTACACGCTTAGCTTATAGCTATTCTTACCAATTTCTGTTATCTTGTTTAGGTGTTCTCAAAATATAGAATTGATAGTATTGGAAGCTTAGCATATGAATTTAGGTCTTGCCAATTGATATTTATAATATCTCTTCCCTTCAACTATCTTCTCTTCTCCCACAAACAACAACCATTATGCTTTTTAATTTATTTATTTATCATACTGCCAATAAACTATTTTGTGGAAAAAACTATAGTCTTAATAAGCAGATATTAATATTAAATTTCAATAAAATTACAGAAAACATAAAGTGCTAACTGCTTAATAGTAACACAAACAAAAACATATATGTACAGTATAACAGATAAAAATTACAATGGTAATACTGTAGTGCATTACCATTGCCACATAAAACACAAAAACTATAGTATTTTCTGGGCTTGTTTATTACAAGAAAAACTGATGCAGAGGATGTGCGCTACTAAAGATTTCTACACCAAGACTTTTTTCTTGTTATTTTAATTTGATTATCTAATGTTGGTATGGTCTGGTTACCGTATCAAAATATTCATGTTTAATAATTCAAGCATTTTGCATATTTTGCATATGATGTCCCATTAGAGGACAACCGAGAAAGAAAACATTAGGATGAAACGCTGACACACATTCAACTGAAATTGAATACAGCAACAAGAAAAAAATGAAGGGATGATATTAAATCCAAAAGCCAAACTTTAAGTCAATTTCAAGTAAGAATGATGGTAACAAATACTATAGTATTGTTATTTTTTAATCAGAAAATGACACAAAACTAATTAAGTATAACCACTCATGAAAATATAGTATAACTCTTTGTCTAATGTAGGAGATTCCTATTCAAAAAATAATTTAAATTTGAATTAAGAACAAGTTAACACGAATAACATTCTGGTTACAGTTGCTTTATATTTTACTATGGGACACAACAGCAATATGTCTCTATGTGTATTGAGATAAGTTAAGATGATCAATTGAGGATAGTATAGATAGTATAACACCTGAGTCTTAAAATGCCAAACAAAACTTCACAGTACACAATTTGACAGCAAGAATACACAGAGAAAGAACATGCAAATCAACCTGAATCTAAACGAACAATCTCGCAAGAAGAACGCTTAGAGCGAGGCGAACGCTTCTCCGCTACAGGCGACTGCGGTGGCTGGTCTTGCGATGATCCTCCTATATGGACATAAGAAAAACGATTTTACCCCCAAAGCTTCATCAGAAAGGATAGATTAACTATTGATAACAAATCACGATCCAACAAACACGAAAAACAACAAGTACAAGCTGACATCAGGGAGGTAGGCAATAAGAGAAAATCAAAATAAATGTTAATCAAAATCAACAAATCTTAAAAATAATAAAACAAATGAATGTAAAAATTGAATGATAAAATAATGAATGAATATGGTGATCAATGACCTCTCACCTTTCGGAAGTGGATACCTTATTTGTGGGCGTACGGGATACAAGTAGTTGTGAGTCTGTGCATAGAAAGGGCCTGAGGAACATAGAAGCATGTCAAAGGTCATGTAACTAAGGACTAAATGAAAAATAATTGTGCAAAATGGTTGTAAAAAAAAAGAAAAGAACAGAAAGAAAGGAAAAAAGAAAAAGGAAAGAAATGAAATTTAAAAATGGTGAGAGGAGGGGACATTTAGAATAGCTTCATATCACCAGTATCCTTCTGCCTATAAAAACATTCACTATGGATAACATACAATATTTTGAAGCTCATTGTGGACACTACTCATTATGGACGGCTATATACAATACAATGTACTATAATACTGCAAGCACACACATCAAGGCGCATTAGTTTATTAGCTGTAATTCTAGCAAGGTTACAAGCATAAGCCATATACAGTAGTGTCATACCTGAACAGACACAAAGATATATATATATATATATAGTTGCTAAACAGACCAGCAAAAACCTAGACAAAAATACCAACAGTACCAACATAGGAATAACAAAGAATTAAGTGATAGAAAAGGGATTGTGTTAATAAAGGTGTTAACAATGTTAGATTACACTGGAAGGAAAATATTCAATTTTTTTCATAGAAGGATGCAACATGACGAGGAATATTTTACGAATTGGGAAGGGTTACTTGATAATTATGATTATAAATAATATCATACTTTGATGTTAACATATAAATTTACATACTTGAATACAATTTCTTTTTATATAACCTTTTTCATTGAATTCGTTTTCGCCTTTTAACAATTTGATCAGCTGTGCATTCCTATATCTTGTTTTGTCTTTTTGCTTGCCTACATATATAAGGGATTGAATGGATACGTTAAGCACTGATTAAACTTGTTTGACTTACACTGATGCAATTTGAAGTGAGTAGAACAGAGGACGATCGTTAGAAGTGACAGGGTGAGAAGTAGTTAGACAGGAAACTGAAGTAGTGAGACAGAACATGGAAGCAGCAAGATAGGAGAAGCATTAAAGAAGCATGACAAAGTACAAGTAGCAAAATAGGAAGTAGAAGTAGCAAGACATGAAGAAGCATTAAAAGACAAGAAATGGAAATAGCATGAGAGAAAGTACAAGTAGTAAAATAGGAAGTAGAAGTAGCAAGACATGAAGAAGCATTAAAAGACAAGAAATGGAAATAGCATGAGAGAAAGTACAAGTAGCAAAATAGGAAGTAGAAGTAGCAAGACATAAAGAAGCATTAAAAGACAAGAAATGGAAATAGCATGAGAAAAAGTACAAGTAGCAAAATAGGAAGTAGAAGTAGCAAGACATGAAGAAGCATTAAAAGACAAGAAATGGAAATAGCATGACAGAAAGTACAAGTAGCAAAATAGGAAGTAGAAGTAGCAAGACATGAAGAGGCATAAAGACAAGAAATGGAAATAGCATGAGAGAAAGTACAAGTAGCAAAATAGGAAGTAGAAGTAGCAAGACATAAAGAAGCATTAAAAGACAAGAAATGGAAATAGCATGACAGAAAGTACAAGTAGTAAAATAGGAAGTAGAAGTAGCAAGACATGAAGAAGCATTAAAAGACAAGAAATGGAAATAGCATGAGAGAAAGTACAAGTAGCAAAATAGGAAGTAGAAGTAGCAAGACATGAAGAAGCATTAAAAGACAAGGAATGGAAATAGCATGAGATAAAGTACAAGTAGCAAAATAGGAAGTAGAAGTAGCAAGACATGAAGAAGCATTAAAAGACAAGAAATGGAAATAGCATGGCAGAAAGTACAAGTAGCAAAATAGGAAGAGGGAATAGCAAGTCATAAAGAATCATTAGAAGACAAGAAGTCAAAGCAGTAACACAGAAAGTGAAAGTAGTACGACAGGAGCTAGAAGTGTAAATATAGTAAGTATAGAAGACATGAGATACGATGTAGAAGCAGTGAGATAGGAAGTAGAATTGGTGAGACAGGAACTAAAAGTCATGAGATAGGAAGTGAAAGCAGAGAAACAAAAGTAGAGGTACAGAGGTTAGTAATGAGTATTTGAGCAATATTTTTAAATACAAGTCAGATAGTAGTAAGTAGAGAGCATGTGTGCTGGATTCAACTTACAACACAATTTATTAGCAACAGGATGTTTATGAAGAAAAAAAAACATGCAAAAGACTATTAAAACTTGAAATATAATAGTAATGCTATATTATATTAAAATACTACTTTACTTCAATTTTATATTTCAAACTAGAGCCAAATACATTTTATAACTATAACATGCACTGAAGACAAAACTAATGATAACAAAGATAATGATGGCAAACATGAAAAAAATATTTATGAAGAATACTGGTGTTACACTATAGGAGAAAGCGCTTGAAAACTAGCTTTTAACCAGACAGTTACCATGGTAAGTGTGATACTTAGGGTACTTCCTCATCTGTATTGACCTCCAGAAAACTGTCGATCAAATTAACATTAAAGCAGCCAATCAAAGAATAGAACAGATTAAGTTAATTGAATGTATAGATATGAAATATATATGTAAATAGACATGAAGAGAAGCAAAGTTCTAAAAGTTCTTAGGTTAAAAACAATAAGAAAAATATATTTACTTTACTACACTTAAGTGTTGGTTTAGATAAAATTAAGAGAATAGCATTCAAATAAATATGCTAATCACTTAATAAATATTCAAAAGGTTCCAATAACTGTAGTTAAAGCAAGTGTTCTTTAGTGTATTAAATTGGTAGAATTCAAATAAATATGCTAATTAGATAATGACTAACTTTAAGGGAACAATAACCGTAGTTAAAGCAAGTGTTTCTTCAGTGCATTAAACAGGTAACATTTTAATAGTATGCTAATTACTTAATGACTATTCATAAGGGAACAATAACAGCTTAGTGTCCTAATGATTTCTAGATTTTTAACTTTTCAGTGTGGTAAATGATTAAGGAATTCCTAGAAGACAGAATTTCTTGATTTCCATCAGTTTATTTTTTGATTGACAGCTTTCAAATGGGTGGAATTCTTAGTTTATCATAAAATTAAAAACCAAGCAATATTATTATACTTTGAACCAAATGCATTTTTCAACAGTAAAGGACATAGTATTTTCACTTTACCGCTGTAGAACTTACCTTCAGAGAAATAAATAATCTTAATAAGTTTGTTATTAAATTTTTCTATTCAATGTTCATATTATTATTGACCATACAGGCGGCCTGTAAATCAAAATAATTTGATTAATCGGACATTTTATGATTTACAATGCTGTCCATAAAAAATGGTATTAAAATGCTAAAACAATCCTATTACAATATAATATTAAGTGATCCCATTTTGTACATTTCTTTTAAATTATATTATAATTTTCATATTCAAAAACTATTTTAAAATGTTGATAATTCAGACACCAACAAGAACAACACTGAGGAGAATAAGTCATAAAAATTTGGTATCCAAAAAGAAAAATGGTACGAGAAAGAAAAAACTGATACCAGACGAGACAAGGGCATGTGACAATCAGACAAGGGTCGTGAGATGAGAACATGTTACTCTTACCCGTACTTAAGGAATTGGAGCTCTTCTTATTTGAGGGCGGAGAAGAGTTGGAGGAATGAGTTGACAATGAAGAGCGTGAACTAATGGACTCGGTGCTACTGCTGGAGCTGTACAGTGGATCTGCGAACATGAGCGTGTTGAAATTCGTAAAAAAGAAAAACCTACTAACATTCGTGCACGTTACCTTGTACACATGTAGCATTTATGCACGTCACCCTATATAAATTATGCAGAAATTATACGTGCATTAGTGCGTACCATTAATGCACATCACTGCATAAAGTATGCACCATTTATGCATATTACTGTGCATAAAGTATGCATCATTTATGCATGTCACTGTGCATAGTACGCACCATTTATGCACGTCTCTGAATATTAGTACACACAATTTTATGCACATCCCTGTATTTTATACACATCATTTACGCACGTCACTGCATAAAGCAGGCAGCATTTATGTACCTCGCCAAGCATAAAGCATGCATCACTTATGCATGTGACCATGCCTATGGCATGCAGCATTTACGTGCATGTCAATGTGCATTAAGCACGCATCATTTCCACACATTATTTAATTGAATTAAAATGTTTACTTGATATACAACTCTGATAATAAGATCGGGGATGTTTGCAAAGGAAGAGTAATGAAGGGAGGGATGTAAAATGCTGGAATAGAGCAAATAGATATACAGTAGAAGACGGCATAAATATGGAAGGGAAGATAATAAGTAAGGTCAGTATGTGTCATTACGTTATGCAGCTAAAATGGGGAAGAGAAAATTAACCAATCAGAGGTCAGTCTTCCAACACCTGATACACAGTCTTAATATAAAGCAAAGCTAAACAGCAAAGATGAAATGCAATCCCATGCACGATTACATGTTACTCGAGATCATACAAAAGAAGCTATTAAAAAAAAAGGAAGAACCATATATAACATCAGAGAAGAACATGATTGGCTAAAACATATATGACAAGGATTATAACTGCCGGAGAAATATAAAACAATCATGATTGGTTAAGCAATTAAATATAATAACTGTGACTGGCCAAGTCATTTATGTTCCATACATTCGAAAATAGACAACAAAAATATTGTTTTACATTCTGGAATGTTTATTTAGAATATAAACCGACATTCAAAAAGCTAAGCATTAAAATGGACCTTTCCAAAATGTCAATCAAACTTAAAAAACTGACCAATAAGAGCAGTGCCAGGAATACTCGCGCGTCCAACAATCAGACGTTTTGTTCCACAAATGCATGTGTTGCATACGTTTTAACAGTCGCTTTGTGGGACCTACCAACAATATCCAAGGGGCGGGGCTTAGTTCAAAGGTTCATTATTTGTCCCTTTGCATACAAAACAACAATCTATGTTCTCAAATACTGGGGTAGTTGTTATTCATAAGAATTTGAACTTGTGACCTGAAGCATATTCGCCAACTACAGGATGGATTGTAAATTGCTTCAGAAATTTTGTTTCATCTTCTCTCACTCTAACAATTCTGGATTCACCTTTCTTCCAAAATCACACACACAGTGATGGATTCAAAGGTGGGGGGAGGAGAGGGTTGGCCAAAGCCGACGCAACTCCCCCTCCTAAATTTTGTACAATTGAAAAAAAAAAGTAAAATTATACTCAAATTTAGGACCGAAGAGTTCCATAATCATAAATTTTCTTACCTCAGCCCCAATCATGGTGGAGCTGAAGTTGTCTGGTCTCCCCATCTGTAAAGTCCCTCCCAGAGCCCCCTCTATTTCGAATTCCTGGATCCACCACTGACACATCTTTCCAAATCATGTTCAATAAACTACATGAATATGTATAAATAGATATGAATATTTATATCTGACATGATACTAGTAACTTTAGTATGGAGAGAGTAACTAGTGAAAAATAAAGATGATAGAGTAAGTTAATATTGATGGTGAATATCTCTGCATGAAAATAGAGCCTTACCATCAGAATACATCGGCTTGGGGCGCCCTCCTTTATTCTGTGGTATTATTGGGCTCTTCACGAACAAGCCTCTCTCCTGCAGCTGTGAATCAATCTCGTTCAACAGCTCCGATTGCAGCGAGTTGCTTCCTTCTTGCCGCCGCGGGGACTCGGATGTCGGCGGTAGGGATTTGGCCGTCTTGCGGAAATCTGACTGTTGGTCTTGGAATGTTGCGGAAGGCTGTGATGGAAGGCTACCGGTGTGCGGCCGAGGCGACCCTTGAGATAGCGCAGATTTGTTTACGAAGGTAACATCCTTTTCATCTGGTGAACTCTTGAAAATCTAAAAATAATTAAGAAACAATATGTTACATTAGAATCAATTACAAATATAATTAGATATCACTCTATGAATATATATTTTTAAAATAATATATAATTACTTTCTCATAGTTAGCAATGAGTATTTCCACGACAATGTTTGAGAATTTGATGTCCATAATAGCGGCCATGGTCTCTTCCTCAGGTCTCATCAGCGTCGGACCAAAACACACTCCTAAGTTGGATACAGTCATCTTGTTCTTCTCATGAAGTTCCGAAACCCTATAAATACCAAAAAAATTTAACTTTTTAAGATGAAAATCAAAGATTTGTGAGGTGTAATATGAAAATAGAATTGTTTCACTTCCTATACATCAATAACAGGATACGTTAAATATTAATATTACTTTTTTCCTGTGATGTCTGTGATTCTTGTTTGTTCCCTTCTGTTGTTCTTTTAAGTCACTGCACCATTAGCACTTTTTTGGAGATGTTTGCGCTATAAAAGTCGCTATTATTATTATTATTATTTGAGAACAACATATGTCCCCACTTGAATAGAAACCCAAGACTTTCCGATTACCGTTCCGATACTCTAGCAACTGGACCATGAGGCCAAGTGGAATATACACTCTAAAGATTTTCCCACTAGGACACGTTCTTTTCTCAAAGTATTGCATAATAAACAACGAATAATAGTAAATCAAATAGCTTCACATTATTAATATTAATTACATTATTAATAATGATATTAATAATGATATTATTATTATTTATATAATAATGCTATCTGACTTTTGTCTTTGTCTTGTTGATGTTTAGTCATTTTGATAATTTTCTTTCTTCTGTGATTTATTAACATTTTAAAGAGGGGCCCTGAACATCAACTGGCCTCCGGGTTCAGATGGAAGGGCTACCCTCTATAAATAAAGTTGAAATAAAAAATAAATAAAAGCTTTTATATATCAAATAGGATGTTAAATACATAATGAGATATATAAGAGCTGAAATTCAATTACAATATTATATAATCTAATAAAATCTATTTAAGCAATGTTCATACATGTGGTGGGTTAATGTGGTGGGTTAGTCAATGTTTGGCAAAATTCACTTTGGCAAAACTATTTTCCATAGTTTTCTAACTTTGTTTTTGTAAACAAAAAAAAATAGTTAAATGTGTATTATTTATAGAAAATATTTTTTTGTCTTTTTAAATTACAAATATTTGTATTTTATACATTTCAAGCATTTTTGTTTAGTCACCATCCAAAAAGAAAAAAAAAATCAATCATCATACTTGTGTAAATGTTTCATAAGAATGGCTAGCATTTCAAAGTTAGATTCAGGCAATTCATGAACCAGCTTGTGAACATCGTTGAACCGCAAGGTCTTTGATTCTTTTTCTACAAAAAAAAAAAAGCCAGATAGGTAATTATACACACACCATGACATCTAATTCTTGTGAAAATTATCGTTTTCTTAATAAGAAAGGAGGTAAAATTAATAGTTCCTTCCATGATGTTATTACTTCCTATCCAAACTGTCACACGTTATTGAGTGAATTTATATTAATTTGTGAAATGAAACAACATTTGTAATTATACAAACTGAGTAAAAATGAGACAGTTTAAAAGTGTACTTAAAATGTGATTATGATTTTTTTTTCTTATAGTGTGTAGTTTATATGGTTTATAAAAATAAAAATCCTATCTGAACAGGTCTTTATTTGTTTTCTATAATGTGTAGATCAACATCTGAAAGGCCTTCATTTTTTCCCTATGGTGTGTAGCTTATATGGTTTAACAAAGAAAAAAAATCCCATCTGAACAGTATTTATTTTTCCCCTATGGTGTGTAGTTCATATGCTTTGAAAAAAAAAAATCCCATCTGAACAGGTCCTTATTTTTAGTTCATATGGTTTAACAAAAAATAAAAATCCCATCTGAACAGGTCTTTATTTTTTACCTATGGTGTGTCGTCTATAAGCCTATGGTTTAACAAAAAAAAAAAACCCACCTAAACAGATCTTTATTTTTTTCCCTATGGTTTGTAGTATATATGGTTTTACTTTTAAAAAATCCCATCTGAACAGGTCTTTATTTGTTTTCTCTAAGGTGTGTAGTTTATAATGTTTAACAAAAAAAAAAATCCTATCTGAACAGGTCTTTATTTTCCCCCCTATGTTTTGTAGTATATATTGTTTAAAAAAGTCTCATCTGAACAGGCCTTTAGATTTTCCTTATATGCATATTTCAATCCACCTCATTAGAGATGCGCTCTGCATTTAACTTTTTCTGCCTCTATAGCCCTTATTCACAATTTTATCCATCTTCTAATTTTAAAAATATGCAAATTCATAAGGTAATTACTTTGGAACTATACTTACTCGCTGCTGCTGTGAACTTATAATGTAACCTAAATGTCATAAGAGGCTCAGGTAGATTCCTGCAGAGAAAAAAAATATCATCCATATTATTTACCATATTTATTGAGATTAAATAGATGTAAACAACGTAAATACAATTTATACACAGGGAAAGTAAGTTTTGTAGTATACCAATTGCTCAAAAATTATATTGGTACAGCAGTGTTTATTGGAACATGGACAGTACTCCGACTGTTTGTGATACAAGTCCTATACAAGATTCCACCATTATAATTTTCTCTACAACCAATGCCTTAATATTAAGCAATATACTTTCAACACTAACTATTGTTAGCCAAAGATGCCATATAATTCCCTTTAAAAAAAAATATATTTATATATATATATAAATCCAACGAGTCCTTTTATAAAAATATATGACAGTTTACCTCCACAACAGACACTAAGAAAGACAAAAAGTCCTTTGTGATAACTTAATCATGGTATATTTGTACTTAAGCTCTCATATAATACTTTCATTGTTTAGAAATAAAGTCGCCTACCTAAAGTAATTCTTAAGTGCGCTTGTTATGGTCTTGATCTCAAATTCTCCTGAGTTGGACAGGTTTACACTGGCTCCTTTCCTTCTGTCTGTAACAAATAGAAAAGATATAGTAACAATATTAGTAACATTGTTCACAAAAAATAATGACAAGTAAGTAAGTCTTGGAGAGTATCGAAGTCCAGCCAAAAGATATACTGTGTACATTGTGCTAAACAACATGAAAATATAATGCTATACTTAAATTATTTACATTAAATGTCAGTAAAATTTCAATTATATATAATTCTTTGTAGAGACCAATGGAATATCTGGAGTAATAACATGGGGGCTAATGGGGTAGGAGACGAGTGCAAAGGTTCAGTGGAGGAGCTCGGAGTTCAAGTGATGAGAATTTAGCCGGCAAAATAGGGTGATATGTAGTGATTTATTAACTATGTGAGGAAAGTGGCGCAAGCTTCTTTTTTGTGGGTGTTTACATGACTGAAATGTTTATAATCCGAGTGTTGGACAATTGTGTCCAGAGTTTTGCTGCAGTGTAAAAGGGGTATAACTATTTTTTTTTGCATTTCATATTTTCATTTATAAGTATGTCTGTTACTGATAATTCGTAAATGGATATAGCAAAGGGAAGAAGATTACACCCGTCCCAATGGGAGTTCGCATTTTAAATAACACATAATTAATTTGTGACAGATCCAAAATCCATTTTAAATTCAAAGATCAAATTGCACAAGAATCCAATTGAATTAAACACTTCCCTAATTTAAGAATTAATGGTCTGATAAATTAAATAGACATATGAATTCTAATAAAGAAAAATTGCCAATAATTTTAAATATCTTAATTACATTACTTTCACTAGGAAAGAGACATCACAGTCTTGACAACTGAACTTAAAATAACTGAAAAACCAGTGGCTATGAAATGTGGGCAAGTCAACCTCCTAAAATATTTCAAGGAAGGATATAATTAGTGGGTGTGGTTACATAGTAATGTTGGTGATATCGTTGGCCAATTTCAGTCTGTTAACAACTTGACCTCTTAAGCCAGGTCACTTTTATGATGTCCAATACTGTCCCGATTATTGGTGCATTGGTTAATGTCAGAATTCTAATGTTTGTCGGTTTGGTGATTTGCAATTTTTGTTTATGTAACAGCTTTTTAATAATTTTGTAAATATATTCAATATTTAAACATGAAGCTTTCCATAGTACTATATTTTTATTTCAACATCAACCACAATTTTGTCTAAATAAATAAAAAAAGTGAATATATTTTAATGGGATTCTTAATCAATTATTCATTCCCAATATAGACAGTAAATTAAACATTCAAGAGCTTTGCTTTGTCCAGGCCTTCCCAACCTCATTCTACATCCCATTTTTTTTATCCCTCTTCAGCTCTTTTCCTATCTTTCCTTGCTCTTCCACCCACCCACCACTAACCTTTGTTCACACCAGGTTCTTTTTTTCAACCTCCTTGCTTTTATTGCTGTATACCTTCAATGTCACGATTGAGGTTTAAGGCTCTATTCACACTATCCAGTTTAAGTGACAAATTTGTGTGAATTGACCATGATGAAGGGCATGATGATGTCATATTACATTCTTAGGCCCTGTCCACACTATCAAATTTTTGTGACAAAGTTGTGATGTGCCCTATATGGGTATGATGATGTCATATTACACCCAAATATGGGCATAACATATTTTTTTTGTCACATAATATTTGATAGTGTGGACAAAGCTTTATATGGCATGCATTACATGGGCCTAATGCATAATGTTCTATCTGCTGATTCTTACCTAAACAGAGAGATGTGAGTTTTTGCACTTTTGAGCTGACGCCAACCACACGATACAATCCTTGATCCTCAAGGCCTTCGAAAAAAGAGAAAAAAAATTCAATTATTTAATATTAATGACTTTGCTAGTATTGAGAACTTTTTCAGAATATGAAGTCATGTGATCACTTGAATGGAGAACTAGTCAAAATATTACTAAAAATTATTGAATAACTGACGGTCTCTCCCAACTAAGCACTGCACCAAACGTAATTATTTTCACTTTCTTTTTTTAAATTTATATCTGTATATAATTTACAATCGACAGAGAATGGCTAAATTTGACTGCATTGCATTATGAAAACCTATAAATACATGCAATATAAAAACACTAAGCTGTGATTTTAATTACGTGAAGTGGTGCTTAATTAGAGATTATTTTATTTACAACAATATGAGTTGTGGTATTTTCAAACAGACATCTATATGGAAATTAAACTAACAGCAAGTCGAACAATATTTGGAGTAAATCCTTTTTAGTTTAACTTTTCAACTGATATCAACTGCCTGCCTATCCTGATTATCAAATTTCCTTTGACAAAAAACTGTTGTATGCCCATATATAGTCATGATGTGCCTATATATGGTTTCTTTGTGATGTCATCATGACCATATTTAGACATGTCGCATGTTTTTGTTAAATAAAATTTGGTAAGTCTGGACAGGGCTTAGCATGTACTTTCTTTTATGTTACATACCTCTACTCTCAATTGCTTCTATGCATTTACGGATAAAATTAAACCCTACGTCGTTCAACAAGCCTACAGAGAAGGAAAATGAATATGTTATAAGCTTCAGCAGTGGAATTAGCCATAATAACGAAAATGGGTACTTAAACCTTAAAAAAATGTATGTAATTTACACTTTCTTTTGTCTTCAAAAAAAAAATTTTGATGTATTCAATATGCTCTTTAAAATACAAAACGGAAACACATAAACTGATCAAATCACAATAGAGCATATGGGGGATAACGGTAAAATTGCAAAAACAGACAATTCGTTCCATAAGGGTCTCCTACATTAACGGACATGAAATAAACTAATTAAACAAATAAATCATTATAAACAATTTCACACTTACTATCGTCAGACTTAGAAACATTTGGATTGCAATAAACCTAGAAAAAAAAAAAAATAACACAAACATTAAAACAGCGAATGAGGATGAATCATCATTTGTACAATGCACAACTTTATTGCATGATGCAAGAAAGAAAGTACGGCAGCTGGGAGGCATTCATTTTTCATCTTCACAGAAAATTTAAATCAAGTGATGAGGTCGTCTCCAGGGAACACAGCACAAGTCGTATCCAGGGATCCCAGCACAAAAAAATAATGTGCTGGGGACAAGGAATATCAACTAGAGTGGTTTAGCTCAGATGGCAGAGAATATTAATAATACTTTGAAAGGTCACTGGTTCGGATCCCACAGTAGTTCATATTTTCTTTCCTTATTCCCTGAAATTCTTATATTATAAAACTGAGGTATATTGTTTGAGTATAATAAAAAAACAAATATATTCATGTATATTGATCATTATATTATGTAATATATGATATATTATATATTACATAATATAATGATCAATATACATGAATATATTTATATTGATCATTATATTATGTAATATATAATATATTTTACACGATGAATAAATGTGGTGATTCCACAACAAAGGAAAAAAAATGAAAATTAGTTTATGTAGACCATAAATAATCAATTTCAAAAATAAATATTATCTACTGTCACAGTTAATATAATAATAACCATAATATTATCAATAATATTATTATTATTGTTATTATTATTATTACTTTTTGTATTTATTTTTGTATTCTTCACGTTTACTATATTTATGTATCCGTTTGATGTTTGTGTTCCCTCCTGTAAGTGGCGAATTTTATGTTTGCTGTTGGCTGGGATAATAAATAAATAAATAAATAAAATAAATTTTACTTACTGGTTCTTTTCCACCCATGGCTTCCATCCATAGATTTCGTTCATTTTCTGAAATGGCTTGTAAAGTGATCACGTTTGGCCTAATTTTGGAATAATGTCAGAAATTTAGTCAAATAGATAAATATTGAGTTACGACATTGTGCTATAACTTGTATTTTACTGAAGAAACAGCTTGACGGAATACTACGACCATCGTACGATAAAGAGTGTGCTTGACACTGACCGATGTGCCTCGCACTTACAAATTGAATCTAATTTTCCAGCGCAAAACTTTACCTTTCTCTGACCGTAATATCAAAGCAGAACCTCTTCTCAATTGACTCAGTCATTCGTCTGAAATAAAAGAAAAACTTATTGTGTACATTATTTATGAATTAATTGACTGTACATTGGAGTAATCATACTGCATGTGAAAAGCATTTATACAACATTGAATGAACAGACTCTTAAAAATAAAAGTTTATATAAATCATGTATTGAATATTGTGATGAAGCCCAGTTGTCCAGTCTAGACATGAACATATACACATAGACAGTAGTGTAATGTTTCTTTGCAATTTTCATGTTAAAAACAAAGTGCAGCCGTAGTCTCACTTGGCTGGTCTTTCACTCACTAGAGTACATGAAAATGTATACAACCCAAGTCCCACTTGGCTGGAGTTAAACGTACTTAGGTGTCCAAGTGTCAACTGCCTTCTATCCTAAAAGCATACTATTAAAGTCGGGCTCCGGAGGAAAACAATTTTGGTATGTTGTAGAACTGATATTTCTAAGTCAGAAAAAAGTTGTTTGACAAAAAACTGGGGAATGGCGAACAAGATACAGATTTTTGAATATTTAAAAACTGGGGGGGGGGGGGAATGGGCGTAACCACGTATTTTTACACCTTTTTCCCCAAGTTTTAAATATTAAAAAATCTGTATCTCATTAGCCATTGTTCAGTTTTTGATCAAACTACTTTTTTTTCCTCCAGAGCCTGACTTTAAGGAAACTTCCCATTATTATTATTATTATTTAAATTCTAATTCTAACTACATCCCTTCCACTCCCATACAAATTCTTCTCATTATCTTCATATTTACAAACTGGTCCCAGTCGCTTCCCTTCTTGTCACTACAAATGACATGGAAACGTAAATAATGAATAACAAGTTCCAAAAATAGGTCCTACCACTGAAATTCTGGGACCTTAGCAATATTATCCGAGGGCCCAGGCTTAACGTAAGGGCCCAGTGGCTGGCTAACTGACCCACAGATTAATTGACTGATTATCAACCTTGATCAATGGTTATTAATTAAATTTAATTAAGTTAACATCATCTTACCTTGTGCAAGTGGTCACAGATAGTGTGTCTGTGGTTGTCTAATTAAGAGAAGAAAGAAATGTTTACTTTTCATCTGCAAATTTGGCTACACAGATATACTGTATACAAAGAAATCCAGAAAACTCAAAAATTAAATTCAAAATTTGTCAACTTCAAATGAGACACAAATTAATTACCAGCCAATTTAAAGGTCAACGGTCAAATATACAAATTGTATTATTGATATTTAACAAAAAGCATGATAGTGGCATGGAACAGCGACAAAAATATTTTCTCGCAAAGTGCAATCCATTTAGCATGTGACAACAGCTGTGATTCAAGCAACTTTTGCGGCTTGTTTTCCAGTATTCAATGATCAGTGAAGGATGACCAGACTCCGTGACCGGTAAGAATATTTTTTGTGCATAACATTTTTTGGAAATGATAAATTATTCTGCGCTAAGCGACATCTTTCTGTTGTATAGTCACGTCGCATTCTGTGTGGATCACTATAAAGCTCATGATAAGTTCTATTGCTTTTGCCACTGTTGTTTTCGCTGTCGCACTCTGTGTAAATAGGTCTTATTATAAGGAATACAATAATTTTCTTAACTATTTTGAAAATGAAAGCTATAAAAATACCTAAATATACTAAGAAAGCATTCCAAATACTATATTCTATTTTTAAGCTTATACCTTAATACTAATACTTTTATAACATTGTCCAAACTGTTAATTCAGTATAAATGACAAGAAGGTAGGCTGATAAATATACATTAGAATATGAACCAGTACAAACACATTAAATTTAAATTAATAACATTTATAAATAGATAATAAAACATTTATTTAATAAATTTATATACATATGTTTTCCCTTCTAAACAATGACATGCATATTTTACTCCATGGACATGTTTAGTACGTACATAGTGTGCTCTCTGTTAATTCTCTGTGAGTTGATTTATACTAATAAAAATATTTCTGAATATTCTTTGGATCAATGGTTGTAATGGCGCTAAACCATGTCAACTTACCACTTTTGTAAGGGCTTGTGTGTAGCCTCTCATGATAAAAGCCTTTGATTCTCGGATGTATTGACAATAATATTTCACCCACACAGACCCAATAGCTCCTGAAAAACAACACAAAATGAGTCACAATAATAACACAGATAGGTGATTTCAATAAAACTGTTTATTTGTATAGAGGGATAATACACCTAATCTTTATTTGTATTTATGTAGCTCAGGTAATTTTTGTAGCATGAAAGACTTTTGCGTGCTATATTTATTTATTTGTTTATGTAGCGCTTTCTTTTCACAATGCAAAGTGCTTCTGCCCCTGGTCAATGTGTTCACACTATCAAATTTTATGCGACAAAAAACTGTGATGCCCATATTTGGGTGTAATATGACATCATCACGTCCATATATGGACACATTACTTTGAGTGTGGACAGACCTTTAAGATTATCCGAGGGCCCAGGCTTAACGTAAGGGCCCAGTGGCTGGCTAACTGACCCACAGATTAATTGACTGATTATCAACCTTGATCAATGGTTATTAATTAAATTTAATTAAGTTAACATCATCTTACCTTGTGCAAGTGGTCACAGATAGTGTGTCTGTGGTTGTCTAATTAAGAGAAGAAAGAAATGTTTACTTGTCATCTGCAAATTTGGCTACACAGATATACTGTATATATAAAAAAAATCCAGAAAACTCAAAAATTAAATTCAAAATTTGTCAACTTCAAATGAGACACAAATTAATTACCAGCCAATTTAAAGGTCAACGGTCAAATATATAAATTGTATTACTGATATTTAACAAAAAGCATGATAGTGGCAAGGAACAGCGACAAAAATATTTTCTCGCAAAGTGCAATCCATTTAGCATGTGACAACAGCTGTGATTCAAGCAACTTTTGCGGCTTGTTTTACAGTATTCAATGATCAGTGAAGGATGACCAGACTCCGTGACCGGTAAGAACATTTTTTGTGCATAACATTTTTTGGAAATCATAAATTATTCTGCGCTAAGCGACATCTTTCTGTCGTATAGTCACGTCGCATTCTGTGTGGATCACTATAAAGCTCATGATAAGTTCTATTGCTTTTGCCACTGTTGTTTTCGCTGTCGCACTCTGTGTAAATAGGTCTTATTTATTATAAGGAATACAATAATTTTCTTAACTATTTTGAAAATGAAAGCTATAAATATACCTAAATATACTAAGAAAGCACTCCAAATACTATATTCTATTTTTAAGCTTATACCTTAATACTAATACTTTTGTAACATTGTCCAAACTGGTAATTCAGTATAAATGACAAGAAGGTAGGCTGATAAATATACATTAGAATATGAACCAGTACAAACGCATTAAATTTAAATTAATAACATTTATAAATAGATAATAAAACAGTTATTTAATAAATTTATATACATATGTTTTCCCTTCTAAACAATAGCATGCATATTTTACTCCATGGATATGTATAGTACGTGCATAGTGCGCTCTCTGTTAATTCTCTATAAGTGAATTGATTTATACTGATCTTGAAAATATTTTTAGATATTCTTTGGATTAATGGTTGTAATGGCCGCTAAACTATGTCGACTTACCACTTTTGTAAGGGCTTGTGTGTAGCCTCTCATGATAAAAGCCTTTGATTCTCGGATGTATTGACAATAATATTTCACCCACACAGACCCAATAGCTCCTGAAAAACAACACAAAATGAGTCACAATAATAACACAGATAGGTGATTTCAATAAAACTGTTTATTTGTATAAGGGGATAATACACCTAATCTTTATTTGTATTTATGTAGCTCAGGTAATTTTTGTAGCATGAAAGACTTTTGCGTGCTATATTTATTTATTTGTTTATGTAGCGCTTTCTTTTCACAATGCAAAGTGCTTCTGCCCCTGGTCAATGTGTTCACACTATCAAATTTTATGCGACAAAAAACTGTGATGCCCATATTTGGGTGTAATATGACATCATCACGTCCATATATGGACACATTACTTTGAGTGTGGACAGACCTTTAAGTGTTGCTGCTGTAAATGAACAGGCAACCCCACCAGCCATATTGTATCTAATTGTGGTAATGTGAACTAACCTTTAATATGTTACTCCGTTTATATTTGTTGTGTGAAACACAGTTAAGTTTTTTGCTATAAGACAGAACGTTCAGTACATAATAGATTATACTAAAAGCACATTATTTTAACTTACGTTTCTCCAGAGCGTAAAGATACCCTTCCATACATGCTGTGCTTTTCCTCTCCTGGGGTTTCTAAATAATTTGAAAGGGGAAAAAATTATCAATCTACATACTGTATATTCAAAACTGAAAGTACAGTAATCTGAAGACACAAGGGTATTTGTTGTTGATTTATATTTGGATTAAATAAAATAAAAAATTATTAGAGATTCAACTTACTTCCATCATCTTGTGCATAAGCACCTCAGCCTCATTGTGAGTACAATCAAAGTTCTCCCTTGTCTAGAAAGACAAAACATTTTTCAAATGATAAAATATATACTTTTGATTACGTATCAAAGTGAAATAAAGAATAATATATTATTATAATTATTATTATTAATGCTTCTTTTAAAGACAATTGGCCATCAGATAGACACGGCTGTCTTACGGATGAGTAGACATTAACCGAAACAAGCATAGCAAGGTTGAGCACAAGTTCCTCTAAATTTGAGTACAGGTTAGCCAAAGTGGGTAGGGGTTAGCATAGGTACAAGTTCGCATGGGTACGAGTTAGCCAGTGTTGAGCACAAGTTCACCTAAATTTGAGTACAAGTTAGCCAAAGTGGGTAGGGATTGGCATAGGTACAAGTTTACATGGGTATGATTTAGCTAACACCCAATTTAAAATCAAATATAGTAGAACCCCTATAATTGACGAGACACTTTTAGGACCAAAAAAAGTGTCCCCTTACTGTAATAGGGGTATCCCTAGAATAGGGGTTGGCCGTAGTGTTAAGATACAATTTCCCTTAATTTCTGGGATATCCCAAAGGAGGGGTTCTACTGCAGAAGTAATTTAAACTACTTATTAATGTTAATAATTTAAAATGTTTTATTAAAGAAAATTCAGTTGAACTGAAGGGAGATATATACTGGGATGAGATGATCTGACGAAAATTTAACTTCACTACATCTGACTTCAACCCACAAGGGAAACCGATCAAAAACATGATTACTCATGCACTGCACGCTGTATTCCTAGCTGCTGTTATTTTAATAATAACCACATTTCCTGTCCTGCAGTAATGTTCCCTGGGCTCTTCTAAGGGATTTATTTACTGGGGTACCGTACATTATAGGAAACTTGGGTTTAAATGCCGGGGTAGAATTTAGCCTCTAGATGGTAATAGAACTAGATAACGCATAGGATAGGAGTAGGCAGAATGAGTAACACATGTTGTTATTTTACTTAACTGGATGATCCAATCAGACGTATGCCTAGAGGAATAACTTGTACATTACACCTGTCTACCTTTGAATGATGCCCTCAATGAGCCGAAAGCCCTGTCCTGACTACCAAATTTTATTCGACCAAAACATGTGACATGCCTAAATATGGTCATGATGACATCACATCATGACCATATATAGGCACATCATGACTATATATGGGCATACAGCATTTTTTTGGTCATAGAATATTTAATAATCAATTACATTTCTTTTATTTTTTAGTTTAGCTGAATGCAGATAGTATCTTTAAATCAAGTATGTTATAAATATATGATAAGTGAATATCATACTTGACCTAAAATATTATTGAAGGTCAACCTGTAGGCCTACTATAACTACTACCCTTTTTTTTTCATCCAAGAAGAGAATTAGCAAGTACCCTAGTTCTTAATGGGTCATTCAAAATTCTGTGCATACGGCATGAAAATGTAAACCATTCTCATCAATGGTGACACACAGGATAACGGCAATCTCTAGATGAATACGAATAACAACTGAAGCATAAGATGAGGTCAAGGTCATGATCTTGTTACATTTCAACCGACGATGAATCAGAATTGTACAAACATGTGAAACATTATGAAGACATCCCATAATGAAGTCTGCATAGCTTTGACCTGAGAGTTTGGTCGAGAGGAAAGGGTCATGCTTCTTGCGCTGTAGACCCTGGTTCAAACCCGGCCAGCGTCGGGATTTATTTGAAGCCGGATTGCTCTGTTCCTCGAATAAACATTCGGAAGAGAGTTAGGCGGGAAAGGGACAATGAATCCGGTATAATAGTCCGTACCAGAGCTGCACTGTGGCTGCCGCACAGCCAAGCAAAAATTTTTAATTTCAAATATTTGGAAATATTTGGAACTGGACAAAAAAAAAGTAAAATTAATTTAATTTCTTATTTATTTATTTATTTGGAAGCAGAATTATTTCCAGTGGGTTTTTTTTAGTGGTAACTGGGTAGTACACCAGGAGACAATCATCTACTCCTTTCTTATATTATACTACATTATTGAACATGCTCATAGGCCATACCTGTACCTATCAAAATAATTGTTATAAAGTTATCAAACACATTCAAGACTAATTCCTTTAAATATCAAGATTATTTGGTAATAGACCTATTGATTTTTAAATACATTTATATTTAGCTTTGAGAACACACTACATATGATGTCCTCTTGACGTTATATTTTTGAAATGCAAGGACCGAGGATGCCATTGTTCCACCTGAGTTACACCCTCGTCTATGCAGGACGAGGCATACCAAGCCCAGTATTGTGTCGCATGAGTTTCACTTTCAAACAGTTTTGAGGCATTTCATGGTTTACATTGTGTTCATCATGTTTTCACTTTCTGTTTCATTTCCTTGAATGCCTTTGTTACTTGTTACTTAGGTGAGAACTTTTATATTTTGTTTAGCGAGGTCTACTTTTGAAAGATCTTTTGAGAGTGAATTACTATACAGTATATTTAATTTTTCTCACTTAGCAAAATGGTTCTACCAAAAGCATCTAGGAAAAGGAATAAATAAAATTCTTAAAATAAAAATAAGGTGTTTAATAAAAAATATTTTATGTACCATCAAAATTCATCAATACAGTAAGAAAGCTGTAAGTAGCACTTTCATATACACAGTACATTTCTTCAGGTGAATGAAATTTGTCTCTAAGTGCTACTTTCTGCTTTATTACTGTTTTATGTGTTAGACTAGTACGGCTCATCATATTGTTCATCATTAAATCTAATAGTTAATCATCCATCAGTCTACGAATACAAAAGGTCTCAGTGAATCTCCACCATTTCCGCTATCCTGCGCCATCTCCTTCATCTTTCACATCCCGAATCATAATTGCATAGAAATGTCAAGTAGGGATAGAAGTTACGCTGTTCTACATTCAAAATTTACCAAGAATAACACCTGTTCTTTCCACTGGCGCTAGTGAACTCCTTCAATCCACCCCAATTTTATTTTTAATGATCGTGGGACATGTGCCAAGCTCGTTTACATCGACAAGCGTGACATTCGGATCAAGGCCTGGGAAATTATATACTGTCTGTTTAAAGCTAATTAACATGAAAAACATAATTCAATATTATGAATTACATATGTTACTAGGATTCAATTAATTATTAAACTCTGTCCACACACATCATCAAATTTTATGTGACAAATTTGTGTGACATTCAATATGGGCATGATGATGTCATATTATACCCAAATATGGGCATATCACATTTACTTGTCACATAAAACTTGTTAGTGTGGACTTTTACAAGAGCATTTCCTATGTTCTTTGTATAAAGCCTTAAATGAGCCGGTTATCAGAGCATTTTTATAGTAAAAACTTTATGAATCAGCAAAAAACTAAATAGTGTGAATTTGTAATGATGAGTTTGAAGGACTTTATCTAAAAAAAAAGCTGTAAAGGCATAAAATTTGCCAACTTCAATATAGCATGTCTTATGTTTATGTTACCTTCTGTATTTTTTGTTGCAACTCCTGCATGTAAGGTTTAAATTCTTCTGAGACCTCATATCCTGCATTTAAAAAAAAAAGAAAAACATAAAAAAAAAAAAATGATAACAGTATATTCTTTGCTTAAAGAATATCTTTGTAAGTATGTGCAGCATTTGGTACCCGGTGCAACATTGATGTTTTGAGATTAAGTGATTTCTGTAAAGCAACAAATTGAAACAGTAAATGCTATTATTAAAAGCAAATCCCATTATGTTTATGCATTATCACATAATATTGCACTTTTTAAACTAAATTCTTACCACTGTGATAAAAGGTCAGCCAACTGTACATAAATCCTAGGAGCTGTGGGATTAATAGAAAATATAATTACATTAAAACTAAGATTAATTACATTTGACATGATACAGCATTATTTACTGGTCCAATTCAACAAATCTGTGAGGTATTTGCATCATTAAAATCTACACTACAGCCTGATTAGTATCAATTAATTAAAAATAACGAAAGTCTCAAGGATATTATCTAATCTTGTCATGATTAATCATTATCATGATTAAGCAGGTCATCATTTTTGTTGTATGTCTTCATTAAAGTGAGTATATACTGTTCTCATGCAATAGTTTAGACACTGACACAATAACCTTTGAGTTACTAGCACTGACACTTAGGGTAGTAAAACTAACACTTATGTTACTAGCAACGATACTTAATTTACTAGCACTAACACTTACCGATAAGTTACCGGCAACATTAGCTAAGTTATTAGCATTGACGCTCAAATTACCAGCATCGACACTTGCTGGTAAGTTACTGCCACCAACAGCTAGGTTACCAGCATTGTGAATAAATTACCAGCACCAACATGTAGCGGTAAGTTACCGGCAACAACAACTAGGTTACTAGCCTTGATGCTCAACTTAATAGCATCGACACTTACTGGTAAGTTACTGCCACCAACAGCTAGGTTACTAGCATTGTGATTTAGCTACCAGCACCGACATTTAGCGGTAAGTTAACAGTACTGACAGCTAAGTTACTAGCATTCATGCTTAAGTTACCAACACCAACATTTATGTTGCTATCTGCGATGTTGCTTAAATTATTTATTTCTAAAACCACCGTTATTCAGCAATAATAATGGCTGTTGTATGAACAGATATTGCCTGTCAACCTAACAACATTTGACCCAACTATTTCTGATGAAGATAGCTGTCAACAATACTAAAGTCCTAGCAGACAAAAAATATTGCATTCCAAACTATATAAATAACACTGCTGATTATGTTTACCTTGCTGTGCCTAAAATTAAATCCTTTTTTCTCAACCTCCTCCTCATCAAGTAGCTTATAGCTTGTTCTTCGTAGAAAGGGCATTATTGACCTTTTTAAACCAATCAAATTTGCCAAAAAACACCAGAAAATCTATGTACTGTCCTTAATTCACCATCAACACAACTATTTTCCTTAGAACAACTCCATGAACTCTATTACTGTACAACCAGACACAGACTGTCTATAATCGTCGACTTCACCGCACGGAGGCAGGAAATACCTCTGACATTACTAATCACATCAAAGGACGTACCAACTAAGCACGCACCTCGACTCAATCGAACAAGACTGACTGACAGTCAGTCAATCAGAATTCGCACTCAAAATAATGCAATATTATTCTGCGTTCTTTCAGAGGTGCACAAGGCAACATGCGCTGGTTTGTGTCACAAGGCTGGTGGTGTTGGTAATTGAAGATGTGATCGTGGCTATAGGGAGTAAAAGTACCCTGGGCCTATACTAGATATCAGGTCTGATGATGTATTAAATCGGCTTCCTGTTTGCATAATGACTATTAGAATCAAACTTGCTAGATAGAATCGAACTTGCGTTTATGTACTGTTTATGTACTGTATAATGTAACATAATTATGTAATATAATTTTCCTTTTCCTTTACATCCAAAAGCAAGTACACTTGCCACTTACAGGATGGAATGATGATATAAACCATGCCTCTTATTGAGCCCCTAGGGATCAGAGTTGGTCTTAGTTGTGAGAAAAATGTTATGACAAGAATTGAACCCAGAACACTGGGATTAGAATGCAAGCACCTTAACCACTATAGCTATTCAACTCCATGAATACATGAAAAGATTAATAAATGTAACTGAAAATTACATGAATGGATAATTAGTAAAAAAAAAATGGATAAAATTAGATAAAAATTAATATAATAAATTAATGAACAAATGAATAATTTATTACAAACAAGTTTAGAGAATGAAAACATAATGAGATAGTATATTCCAAGGTTTAGAAAACTAAATACCACCTTCACCATCTCATCACTATTCATCATATTTTCTGATAGAAGCATTTTCTACGTTCTAACCATGTCTTGGCATATTGAATTTTACTATGGCGTTGCTGTTCAAGAATTGTGCTTAAATTCAACTTAGCTACGAGTTGTAATGTCATGTTTTATGTGTTCAAGTAAAATGAGTCATGCTCACATAAATTAAACCCTATTACACATTCTAGGATTTCCTCCAAAGCTACTAACTTTAGTAATCATGCTTTTCGTTCATAATGAATAGTATAGATCAAACAATCGAATGATTTAAAAAAAAAATCAATCATCAATGTGGTTTCAGTCATTTCGGAAATACTTTAAAAAACAAACAAATAAAATCACTAATTTTACAATCATCCAAACTATAGACAACATCAGGTAATAAATTACCAATGATGACAATAATGATGATGACGACGATGCTCATAGAGCTTACAGGGTTATCCTCTTGCTCTCAATTTTGTGTATTTATGTACTTTATTTTTTTGTTTTGATGTTATAATAATGAGGGCAATAAATAATAAACAAACAAACAAACAAAATAATGATGGTGTTGAAAGGTAAGTTTGTAAATTTACTGTAATGATAACATGTAAATGTGTACAAAAGAAATATAGAGAACTCTCCCTCCATGTAAAGAACAGTTTTGGTCATTATCAGCTTAGTCTCCAATTACAGCACAGTTAGACAGTTGTTCATTTGGGACCACAGAAAATTGGTCTTTAATTGGAGGTGATCTTTAATTGGTAGGGTCTTTAATTAGAGGGAGACCTGTTTGTATTAATCAAAACATTCATGATTGAAGTAGAAGTGGTTGGCGCATCGATTGTGGCTTGGACTCCCAACCTTGAGATCAGGGGTTCAAAACTCTCGCTGTGCAAGTCACTTGTGTGTTTGGGCAAGGCACTTTATCTCTGTTTGTCCCTCTCTACCCAGGAGTATAAATGGGTACCTGGTAGGATGTTGTGGCATTGAATGTTCTAGTTTCGTGCGCTAAAGAAGTACGGAACGAATAAGGATACTCCCCAGGGAGAAGAGAAAGTTGCACTTTGTGCTGGTTTACCATTGTACGTTATTCCGTGACCAGGGGTAATAACACTCGCGCCTTTGATCATTCAATTTGGAATTGGCGCCTTATAAATGTTTGAGTATTATGATTGATATGCCAATGATAAAAAATTCATGATTACTACAGAACAATCGAAGATGCATGCACGAACATTGTGTAACATTTTTAATCATGCTGAATATGATGAATTGCAAAACTGAAACAAACACTACACTTAATGTGGTACACATAATGGTCAAATGCTAATTAATGATAAAAAAAAATCATAAAAGAAATGATTACAACAATAACTATGAGGCGAGTAGTGGAACATTTTTGTGATGGTGAAACTGATGACTTGTAAAACTGAACCTCATAATTGCTGTTATCCATTCAATATTAAGACAACCAAATTTTAATTATGCTAATAAAAACTAAATTCGAACTAACACCCTCTAATATTCTAATATTAATACATAAATATGTCTCAACGAAGAACATTTTTTTATCATAAAGTCCTTAATTGTCAAGGTTGCCAGGAAGTCAGCTATAAGTGAGTGAAGGTTGAATGAAGGTCAAAGCATGGTCAAAGGGACACATCACTCAATTGACTCACCATTGAGCCAAAAAGCTAGAAGAGAAAACTCCATCTAAACTACTTAACATTCTAACCCTATTTAACAACCCGTCCAAAATAATATCATTCATAGAGGGCAGTAGTCACTTCTTAAATGTAAATTATAGCTTTTGTAACTACGTTCAAACAAAGATAGAGGGCGGTATTATAAATTTGAGCTATGTTGTTCACCTCAAATGTACTCAAATACAAAACCACAGGGCCATAACTAAATGCTCCAAAAATGCTAGGGTAATTACTGCAAAATTATACATTTTCATTGAAACAATACTTGCATAAAATTTAAAATACATACCATTGTATAGAAAATAGTTTTAAAGAATTATTTTTTATCACAGATTTCTCAACATTAGAATAACACAACACCAAAATTATTGAATGCAAAGCTTATTATTGACTCTGAAGGGGCGATCCTTGGGAAATAGGGGCTATGTGCCCCCGTTCCGTGCTTTAAACATTGGACTGCTTTCTCTGGTTTACCCCTAGTGAATATTGTACAGATTCTTACCGTTTCAACAAACTCAAACTTCTTCCTCTCTTGAACTTCTTGCAGGAGTAATACGTACTGCAGAGACGCCCTGTGGAAATTCCTACGCTCCATGTCAAGGGCAGCATCCGCCTAAGTAAATGATAAACATTTTAACAACATTTAAAGAAAAAGACCATTCTCCAAATTACATTAAAACATTAGTTACATACGCTGCTAGACCGCCAGGCTATGTTATACTACAAGGCATCGTTAGTTTATACTGTACTGTAACAGTGTACTTTGACACTGTACTGTTACACTATATACCTCATAGATTCTAGGCATTTGATTGGTTAAGAAGCGGCCAAAAGACAGTACTATTCCCCCCAAAAAATAGTACTGCAGTACGCTAGGAAGCAAGTGCTTTTATAGGTCTCGTAGAATCTATGTATGAGACATGCAAAACAAATGTTGACTGCTCTAGATTTGGTTACAGTGAAATCTATTGCCTTTCGGTGATGTGGAGACAGTAACCCTCGGGAAGGTAGGCTATAGTCTCGATACCACCTCGGGTTAATAGATTTCACCATTCTCCTCATGAGCTCTCAATATTTATATACTATAGTAATATAGGCCTACTGCTATACTACTGTCATGACACTAAAGGGCTGTTTATACTTCAACGATAACGATAAAAAAGCTATAAAGCGATTGTTCATATAGAAAACAAAAAAGAAATAAGTTTTTACACTAGGACGATTCGATAAAGATTTATCGTGTATACGATAACAAAATATTTTAACAAATCAAATCAGATGACGTCATAATCATGGAAAAACGATAAAATCGTTGCTACTATTACGATTTTAATGTTTTTCCATGATTATGACATCATCTGATTTGATTTGTCAAAATATGTTATCGCATAACTGATAAATCGTTATTGAATCATTCTAGTGTAAAAATTTCTCTTATTTCTTTTATTTTCTATATGAACAGTTGCATTTTAGCTTTTTTATCGTTATCGTTATCGTTGAAGTATAAACAGGCCTTAAACTGTGACACAGTACTGTTATATACTGTACTATATATATTGTACACTAGGCTATGGTGTTAGAACTGCACTGCAGTAGTACTGTAGCGCTGTACAGAAGAGTACAATGTAAAGCTACCTTTACACTAAAAAAAATAAGTTCAGTGTGTTGAAGAATATAAACTACGCGATGATCTTGCCGTTGTCGTTACCGTGTCTAGTGCAAATGTAGCTAAACCTGTGCTTTGACAAGTGTACTTGATCACTACCGTTTTCATTCTAAAACTTCTCTACATGTATATTCACAAATCTACATTCATCTATATTTATTTAATTTTATTATTAAAAACTATTTAGTTTACAAAAAAAATTTTTGGCAGTCTAAAATGAATAATCACTATACAAAAATTGTGTATCTATTGCTGCCAGGGTAGCGTATTAAAATAAAATTAATGATGACAATGCTATAGAAGCTAAAATTCAGAGAGGAAAATGTCCATTTTCTGCTTTGCAGATTATCCTCAGACATTCAATATTTTTTTTGTTTGAAATAAATTTAAATCTTTCAGGAGTAACTCGAGGAAGTGCTAATAAAATTAAATTCCTTGAATTCTACCATAAATTTCTCGGTTTAGGGTCAAAATCCTACAAACTAACACCACAACATTTGTTAAACTAAAATGAAAGCAACCCAATCAACCTGTTTTGCTGAGTGAACAAAATGATAAGGAATCCATTGCATTGATTTTTTTTCTTACAACATCCAGTACAACTCATCATTATTAATATTATTATTATTCATATTATTAGAATATGTATAGCACATTCTTCTAGCATTCATAACGAATACAATGCAGATACTCAACAGATCAGGAACTACTGACTGAATATATTGTACTTTTTGAGATCCTGTATAGTAGACACTCTTCTTTTTGTCTATAATAAAGGTAGGTGGTAGGAGAATAACCCATACCTTGCAGCGTCATTGTGCTGAATTGTGTATGGGCGTGGTCCGTGACTACCTAGCAGCCGTAAAGAGGCGCTTCTTGGTAGATTTACGTTCACATCATTCCACAACGACAGGGGCTAAAATGAACTATAACATTGGGGTAACCCCCTACTCTTCCGAAAGATGCAATGGGTTCTTTAAAGTGCGCATGAACCAGATGTATACACTGGGCCTCCATTTTTAATTCCTTATCCGAGAAGACTTGGTTCTACCAACCGAACCATGGGCGAGGAGCGGCTGGAACCGGCGCCGATGTTAAGGCTGTAGCTAGCGGCGCCCCTGCCTTACCGCTCGGCCACTCGACTCGCCAAAATAATTCTAATGTAATTTTATAACATAATTCAATATTCTAATATCTTGGATTTAATTCTGCTGGCAACCTTAGATTTTAATAAATTATGTATCTCTATATCTAATTGTTTGATTTGTATGCTATTTGGTTGATGTTTGTAATCATCTACGATGTACCGAAAATACTGACTAAATACTTTAGGTTTTAATAAATTAAGTATCTCTACAGTACCGGCCAGTTTTATTGCAAAAATTCAACGCATTCAACCCGTTGCGTTTTCGTTGACAACGCGTTGGCGTTTTCGTTGGCGTTGTCGTTGAAACTGTTGACATCGTTGAGAGCTCAGAAATAACAAAATTTACGAAAATATTTTAATAAAAACAGTTTTTATATTTTAATTAAAACAGTTTTCATTAACATGAAAAGAAAATACAGATATAATAAATACAGTAGTACTAAAACCAAACTTTATGCTTATTTTTTATCTATGTTGCAAGTCAAAAACATTTTTGTTTTTGGATAATCATAAAAAGAAATCCTACCATATTGATCCAGATGAAATGATTGTAAAATAACATGCCAATCCATTAAACTAGAATAATTTTGAAAGATATTTTGTTTTATCTAAATTGTTCAATGGTACAATACAATACTCACACATAACGCTGCCACTCCATGGTTGTTTATCAGTGCCTCTTTAGGTGTGTGCCCAGTATGGCTGACGTATTGATTACTGAGATGCTGTAAAGTATAACAATCGTGCATTACAAGCTGTATGATTACCTGTTTTCATCTTCTGATTCTGGACTTCGGTATCACCTTTCTGTATCAAAAGCATGTGTTTGTATAGATTTTAAAACATTTGTGAGAATTAACCAGTATCTAATACTATTAAACTGAACTAAGGCAAGCCTACGGGTATACTAGATGTGATCATATCCTAAACCTAGTAAAAGTGCACAGGGGAGGAGTGTTGGAAGAAGTATATTCCAGCTCAATGGCTGTAACCACCCAGTTCACTTAAACAAATGTTGTGAATGATAAAACAATGGCCTTCACTGGATATTGTAGCTTGTCCTCAGCTACCAATTGAAAAAGATGAAATAGTGGGAATGAAATATGTGGCAGTGAGAAAGTCAAGGTTTGCGTTAATGTAATTCAAACCATTCAAAGCTTAAGCCACATACATTCACAAACAACATCATTGGACAACAGACTCCCAGCAGGTATATCTATGCTGAATGTCAGTTTTCTAATTTCTGTTTTTTTTACTGATTCTTAATGGCGGGTCGTCTAATCATGGCAGTTACATTGTTTTTCCCAAAGAGTATAAACTATATTTTAACATTTACCAACTGTACATAAAAATATAAGTTGTTTAATTTGAAATCAGTTTATTGTGTTATTTGATTTTGTTTTGGACAAAAATAAGACAATACATATGTCCGCATTGTAAGGTTCATTCAAGGTGACAAATAATCCGAGTTCCTAGTCTCTAACGCTTTGTGTTAAACATGCATGAAACACAATCCAAAACTTAGGTTCACCTGGTATTGCCAGCCAATTTTCGAACAGCAAATAAAAATACAATTGTAAAAAAAGCGCCCTACCTATCTTTACTTTTTTTGGCCAAAACTCAAACCTAACAAATAGATATCAAAATAAATTTGTACCACTCTATCCAATAGAATTCTTAATCAAAAATATCAAATAAGTTTAAACGCCTAATTATAATTATCCTGCACTTTGTTCTGAAAGGAAAAACAAAGAATCTTGAAAATAGTGTATGATCTTTCCACCCATAATTAAACTTCAGATAGGTTGAATTTATTTATTTTTTTTAAATTATTGTCTTTCATTTAATAGTGTAGGATAGTGTATAAATTCTGCTGATAAAACACTGCACTGCTCTCGATTGGGATTTGAAGACTTGGACCTCCCAACTTACAGACATCATTTTTTTTTTTAAAGGACAATCACCAATTTTTTTTTACATGGCCTAACTGCAGAGTAAATAGTAAAACAATATCAAAAAGTGCCACTACAACTTCCTCCCCACCGTTTGCAAATTGCCTGCACAAATATGGCAAGACCAGCCAAACCAGTCACTCATCGCAAATCCTGATTCAGAGATACTGTAATAGCCAAAACATGCTGGAATGTCAACATTTTTAAAATCTATTTTATTAAATTAAACTAACCTTTACATATACAGTATCATGCTTTGCTGTTACTGTCAACATTTTCATTGTTAAAACAACAATTTTTAATGATTTGATGATGATTTCTGCCTGAAAAATGCCCAAAATCATAAACTTTGAAGGCCGATTTCTCAAATATTGTTCTTTAAACAGCTGTCTGTTTAAAATTCTGTATTACTGTACTTCATAACAAAATGTCGCATTTAAATGATCCTTTTACCATTTTATAGAGTTCACAACTGTTTAACCCTGTACTAAATAGAAATTGCAAATTGCAAGTGAAGTGCTGCGAAGTACAACTGCATATAAATGTTCTTTAAACAAAATTATTTATGCGAGTCAAGTGAAAATAATGAATAATAAAACTATAACAAATAATATGAGACACGTCCCATTGTCCTGTCTCTTATACACATCTAATCTTGCTCCACCGTAGTAATGGGAAAAAAATATAATTTACTGCAGCAGAATTGTAGGAGATTTGTACCTTCGTTGTGAAATTGATGTGGTTATGTTGTTAACTCTTGTTCATATATAATCACTACACTGTTTGTAATGGCCACATTGTCTTGGCAATGACAAGCCAAGATTTGCTATGGCGCTGTTTTG